TGTAAGTGTCCTCCAGGATCAGAAGACCCAGGAGACATGTCTACAAGCCATGCCATGCTTTACCCAGGACTCAAGGAGCAGGTTGTCAATTTTTGGCAAATTAACAATTCTGGCTAGATCTTACCGGTAAATGTCTTTTTATTCATGCTCTGCAGGTGGTCACAAAGGGTTGGAGGCATATAAAGTCAGAGGAGTAAGTTTTTGATGAGAACATTGATTCTGCAGTTAACAGTTGATATACTTAACAAATTACACTCTAATTTCCCTCACAATACTGTCAGTTTGCTTAATGCTAGCTCCTTACAGGTTTTTAAGCAAATCTCTGACTCTATATTGATACAAGAGTAGAAAGGCAAACTAAATTGTAAAGACTCTGGAATTTAACAACTCAACAAAAGGACATGACAAATAAAAACAAATCAAGCTGCTTTTTTTCCTGTGAAACGCCAGAGAAAATATAAAATACACTTCAAAATTGGAAGCCCAGGGAATTTCTTTTTTATCTAAGTCCTATTTAAGGAGAAAGAAGAGGAAAACAAAACAAAACAAAACAAAAAACAATACAATGGTGCTCACTTGACATTTGTGGTTCTCAACTCTGGCTGTTCAAAGGAACCATCCAGGAGCTTGAAAGAAAGCCGACACCTGCCTTCCCCTCCCCAGTGGTTCTGATTTAATTTGTTTGGGATGAACTTGAACACTGGCATTTCTGAGGGTGCCTGTGAATTCTATTGTGCAGTAGGGGCTGAGAACTCCTGCCCTAGGTGTGTGAGTAGCAATTGCCATCAACAGAAAGGCCATTTGTGATTCTAAAGGGAAAATGCACTTACCTGCTGCAGAGGCACTGTTAAGGAAGGGAGTGTGAAATGGGAAGGAAGAGCTGTAGGTTCGCTAAAGATTTTTGGACCAAAATGTCTCTATCAGGAAAATTATATCTTTGAGCTAGAAGAATTCTAAGACTACTTCTAACTTGGACATTCTCTGATTCTAGGCCTGGGGTTCTTAATCATGTTTACAAACCACAATGCTTCCGCTTAGCCTTCATGCACTGTAATAGGATCCGTCTGGGAGGAGGCAGTGCATCTCTAGCTTTCAAACCCCCTCCCCCCCACACTGATAATTCAATGAGCAGCCAGAATTGAGCATTGCAGATCACTCGTTCATTCTCTGTTGAACAAAAAAGTCATTTAAAACAAAAGGTGAAATTTTTGTGTGTGTGAGCATAGTATGTGTGTATATAAACATGCCTGGGGTGTAATGCCTAGCTGAGAGAGTGGTGGGAATTCACACTTTGTCTTGGATTAATTCAGAAACATGGAAGCAATGCAAACACATATGTCCATGTTGTCTTAATTGGTCCCCGCTGGTTGTTCTGTACATAGTCAAGGAGTGATGCCAAGCGTCTGGGATTCCAGCCCATTCTAATTCCCTGTTAGCTTCATAGAAATAAAAACAACAGGTATGAGCACCTAGAGCAATAGCAGCACTCAACATTGAGACCTGGCTCTCACTAGCACTTTACATGAATAAAGATTAATTTTCTCCCCTTTAGAGACAGAAAAGCTGAGGCTCAGGAGAATGGACTCAGCTGGAAATAGAGGCTACCATATTCCAACCCAAGCCTTTTGATGTTCAATTCCCCTTTCCTTTATTTATTCTATGTCATGGATCCACAAGGACTCTACCCAGATGTCTAGGTGTTGATGGGAGGAGCCACACACTCTCTTTGTGGATTAGGAGTAAAGAGAATGGAGTGATTTTTTTCCTCTAAACACCACAAAGAGTCAAACCTAAGACTTAGCTTCCTTAGAGTGAAAGCTCCTAGCATTGGTGAGAGGGAAGATGAGCAGGACATAGTCCAGGTGTGAAGCCAATGTCAAGAGAGTGAATTCCAAGCAAGTCAGTTCCAGCCTCAGCTGTCACCTTGATTCTGAGCAACACAATCGCATTGTTCTGGACTCTTTTTAATCAGTGATACTGTTGCCAAAAAGTAATCTTCAAAGTGGCCAGAAAGAAAGAGCAAAAGGCCAAGAGGAGGATGGTATAGAACACAAAGGAGCTATCAGGTTTGACCTACAGACTTCATAGCTTCCTTGAAGTGGCAAAAAATTTTACTAAAGTTGTCAGATTCTTAAGCTATATCTTGAGCACAGCAGTAGGTGAGAACAAATGTGCTTCAGGACCACCTGGACGACTTGTTCAAACAGATTCATGGGCAGCACACCCATAGCACCAGATTCAGTAGGTCTGGAGTGGCCAGAGAATCTGCAATTTTTTTTTTTTTTAATTTTGCAATCTATCTGATTTCTGCCTCCCCTGCAGCTAGGATTACAGACAGGCATGTACCACCATATCCAGCTGGAAATTTGCATTTCTGATGAGTTCTTGGTGATGCTCATCTTGCTGGTCTGTGGACACACTCTGAAAATCATGAGATTACAGTAACTATTCACTAATGCCATGGACATACTGAAGCTGGAGGCAACTGGATATGCTCTCCAGGTTCTCACCTATGCTGGAGACTACTTCTGCCCAATTTTTTAAAAATCATATATTAAAAATACACACACACACACATCATTGAGCACTAGTCTAATTCTTTGTTCCACTAATTTAGGCACTGTTAAGAGAGAATAGTGCTGACATTCTTATACACTCTTATGATAGAGTATAAATTCAGACTGATTCACAGAGAAATAGAGGAAAGTTCCAGAGAGTCAGATATAAAACTGTTTCACAGGAGTAAAACAGTTTAGAAAAAAGTGAAAAGCAAAATTAAGTTTTTAATACTGTTAGCATGCAGCATGTAAGTGCAAAGCTTGTGTCAAAATACCATAATCTACTTTACACTACATTTGCCCTTTAGGACATATATTAAAATTTCAACACAAGCCATATGGAAAGATCTGTAAAGCTGCATACTGAAAAATAGGTAGAGAGTATACCTTATTCCCAGATGGTTGTCATACTCACCACTTAGAGGGCTCAAATAGCAACAAGACCACCAATTTGTATAAGACATATTTAACACTGAACAATTCCAACTCCTGAATAAAAGTAAATTAGCCTATTGAGGCTCACTCATAAAGACTATCCTAGGGCTACGAAACAATTCTGAGGTTTTATGCATAATAATACTTAGAGGTTCCATAAGAAAGATTTGAAGACTTCAAATTAAAATGTAATGAATAGATCTAAGCTTCTAGAAAATTAAGACTTACTAGAATAACATGAAGGCCTGATTTTATCCCTTCCTTCAACAGCTTGCCCTCCCCCCTGTTGTATTTCAAAGGAATCTGTGCACAAAAAAGCATGAGGAGACAGAGTTAGGGTCAATGTGTTTATTATGATTGTGTATTCAATAAGCTGGTACCATATAATAAGAGTGTAATGAATGAGGCCCTTTTGGTAACAACTGGGTGACCCATTTCATGTGTCTGATAGCTTGAACTACTGTTTGCTCATCTGTGAACATCTAGAGGTCAGAGGAAAAAACCCTCACACAAGATTGCAACTCCTCTTTACCTAATGCAACTTGCCTTAGAAGGCAAAAGTGACCTGTGCTTTTTAATCAATCAACTCCCATCTGGATCCAGGTTCCCCACTAAGACAGGGGTGACACTAGAAAGATGTGAGGGTTAAATCACACAAGCACATTAAAAAATCCTGCATACTGTGCCTTACATATGATAAATGCTCATAAGCATTTCACTTTCCTCTGATTTTGTTCTTTCCTCTCTCATCATGATGCATTTTCTTTCAGCTTATAAAGATTTCCTTTTAGTTAGCACAGATTTCAATCAAGAGTGTTTATAATTAGGTAGGTGCCAGTGGCTCGTGCCTGTAATCCTAGCTACTTGGGAGGCTAAGATTGGGAGGATTAAGGGTCAAGGCCAGCCCACACATATATTCATGACACCCCTATCACCAACCAAGAGCTGGGCATGGTGGTGTATGTCTATCATCCCAGGCACAGCAGGAAGTATAAAATAGGAAGTCTGCAGTTCAGGCTAGCCTGGAGACCCTATCTCAAAAATAACCAGAGCAAAAAGGGCTGCCGGCATGGTGGTAGGGCACCTACCTAGCAAAGGCAAAGCCTTGAGTTCAAACCCTGGCACCTCAAAAAGAGTGTTTAAAATCATTAGTGTTCACATGTTCTCACTGTCCTTAGAAGTAGTGTTGGCCAGGCACTGGTGGCTCACACCTGTAATCCTAGCTATTCAGGAGGCAGAGATCAGGAGGATCATGGTTCAAAGCCAGCCCTTTGCGAGACCCTATCTCAAAAATACCCAACACAAAAAAGCACTGGCAGAGTGGCTCAAGGTGTAGGCCCTGAGTTCAAACTCCAGCACCACAAAAAGAAAAGAAAAAAGAAAAAAAGTAGTGTTAATTCATCATATGGTATTTCTTTCATTCTTACTGATTGTAGCTGGAATTCTAAGCAGCTTCAGATTCTATAATAGTATTTCTATAAGGAAGAAGAATCATTTGAAATATTTGATGTCAGGAAGTTTGGGAGCAGAGGTAGAAATTATAAACATTCAGAATGTAGTTTCCCTTGTCATTTCCCAATTCAGGATACAGATTCTGTCCCCCTGGTCTGTGATAAATGACATCTGGCTTTACCCTAGGGTGGGAAGTCTCCATCCTGTCTTTCAAGGTAATTCACTGCTCAGAGGCTCAGCATCCACACATGCCTTGTTTTAGTGGCTTCTCAACCACTGTTTGACGATCAGTTAACAGGAGCCCCCAAACCTCCTCAGATGGAACCAGTGTCTTCTAGCATAGAAGCCTTTCTGAGGGCACCATCACTGTTAACTGGAGAGGGCCCAGGTAGTGATGAGGGGGCCCCAGCTTGGGCCAGTTAGAAAATTCTGTCAGTGGAGAAGTATCACAGTGAGTTTGCCCTTGTGATCATGTGAAAAGCTTATATGTTGAAAATCTTTTAAATTAGAAGTGGAGAACACACAATGATAGTAAAGAAAAGCAATGTCACTCACCTGCCCAGGCTGCTCACAGGCTGTCTGGTACCTGGCCTGCTGGCATAGTTCCTTGACCCTTTCATATTTGGGCAAGTGGTTTGACTGTTGCATATTCTTGCTGGACTCTTCCTTCTTTCGTAGAAATTTGCTTTGACAGAAAGGGAAAAGCTTTGTATGTGAGAAGTGATCTGAATTACTTTTCTGAATCCTGTCTGTTCTCTTTTTATTCCGTCACATGACTCCACAGTCATGTGGAGCAAGACGGATAGATGTTAAGGCTCTGTCCATAAGAGTCCAACATTTGTTGGGTCCTTTGTGAAAATTACAAGCTGGGTTTTGTGAAGATGTATAGTCAGGATAAGAAGAATCACCACCCCATCCTCACTCCCAAAGCATTCATTTCAAAACTTTGGGCATAATGTTCAGTTTTACATATTTAGAGCTCTTTTTGTTAACAAAAAAAATTACATAAATGCTTTACTCTTTCTGGATTTATGTAAAGGGAAAAACATGGCAATCGGTGTTATGAATCAAAGGGAGAAACCCAGAAGTGACTATGGAAATAATTACAATGGCATAAATTTAGATATTTAAAACTATGAAAAGCACGTAAGGAAAATAGGTAGAAAGTAGGGTACCAGTCAAGCCTTGGAGGCCACATGGAGAAGGCCTTGGGAGGATGGGTGAGAAAGCCAACTGATTGGTCTGATTAGAAACCAAGACACAGAAGTGCAACAGCAAATCTATACCCATCTAGAGACTTTGGTCCCGTCTGATGAGAATTTATTTTTTATAATTCTGATTAGTTACTTTGCTGGCCAGTAGAGAGTAAGTAGCAAATTATTCAATTTTGCAACTAGGCTTGTGAAATCTGCATGCTTAGTAAACCAAAATAAGGAGGAAAAATATACCCAACAGGGAAAGTTGCCCACTGGGACTGGTTCCCAGAAGCACCCCAGGAACCAATAATTACCCTCTTTCCACTAGGAATGTATCACGCCAAATTTTGGCCTTCTTGTTTGTTCGAAACCTGAAAGCAAAATAATAATATTTACCGTTGGCATCTGGACATTTTTCCAAATAGATCTGTGCTAACACTTATTTAAAGAAACACCTCTCATTTCCTGCGGACGCTGACCGTCTCCCATCAATGTGTTACTCACAAGCAATAAAGGAAGGTAAGTTTAGGGCGGTCCTCACAGGCAAAGAATACTTTGCCTCCACTTTTTTCAGCTACTGGCTGGCTCTGGGCACCAGTTAAGAGTTCAGTGTGCTTGGGACTGGCTGAGAGAAGGGGTTTTGACGAACCTGTTACCCGGCTTTTCCAGGTCCAGAAGTTTGAGGACAGACTTGCCATCCACATCGGGTGGTGTATCAAGTCCTGCAATATCCAGGATCGTAGGGGCCAGGTCGATGTTAAGAACAATCTGTGGGACTCTGCAAAGAGACAGACAGTTACAGCCCAGACGCACAGCCAGCAGAGGTGGCATTTTAGGACTTCTTTTCCACAGCTGCGACTCGCTGGCCTTCAACTCTTCTCGCCCTCTCATCTGGTCTCCTAAAGGTGGGTGATGACATTTGGTCAGCAGCAATGGCACTGAGCAAGATTAATTACTCTCACGGGGGGGTCAGCCTGGAGAGATACCCCACACCCTGGTGCTCTGGCCACACAGCCAGACAAGATGCAGACTGATTCATGGTTTCTGTATAGGATGGATGTTTTTTTCCTAAAACCCAAAACCCAACAGTCTATACCTAAAATTCCTCTGCTGAATAGGCCTTTAAAGTCAATATTCTAACAAAGGGCACCAGGTTTCAGAGTTGACTCCAATTCAGTGCTACCATGTCTTTCAAACATAAAACTTTCTAACTAGATATGACAATTCTCAAAAGGTTCCAATGATCTTGAGATAGATAACATTTTTCAAAGAAACTTTTCTTCTTCCCATCACCGTCCCAGGATGTAGAGTGGCTGAGCAGCACAGGGAGCCTACAGATCAGATGCAGACTACTGAGCTTTGGGCACTAACTTCCAGCACCAGGGATCCTGAGACAGGCCCTCACACCATGTGTCCTGCTTCTCCTCTGTTAAGTCAGGGTGCAGGCTAGATGCTGTTCTGAATTTTCTTCTACTCTTTTATCCTCTCCATAAATCTTTCATACATACAATCTCATTTTATATAAAACATTCTGACAGGATCAGCTAGGCATATGATACCCACTTTATGATAGCAAAACAGGGATGGAAAGGGATGCAGTGACCAGCCTAAGGTGACAAAGAGAACTTGTGTCCTTTAAGTATCTTTTTTTTTAAAGGAAAATCATGCATTTTAACATTTTTCTTTAAATTCTTTAGTAACAGTATTAAAAATTAAAAACCAAGACGGTATTGACCTTTTAAAAATGTTAAGTGTGTGTCTCTGATTCAGAGAAGATAAAAACGATGGTCTGAAAGGCCACATTCTGTCACATCTACACAGTCCCAAATGACATGCATTCTGGTCAATTTGAGAGAATTAGTCATCGATACACTTATTTTTCCTCTTTCTTTAAATGGTATACTTTAGTTGATTTAACATGTGGCAGGAGAGAAAGGTTTTCATCTTCTAAATTACCAACCTACATACACCCTTTTTAGTTTTGGATGAAAGGAAACCAGACGCTGGATTAGTAATTGAATTATCTTAGACGCACAAGAACTGCGACAGCTAAATGCTGCAATCAGAAAAATACGTACATTGATCCTGGTTCTACGCTTGGACCACGAATAAAGAAAGGCACACGAATATCAAAGTCATATGGCATGGATTTCCCCTTGACCAGTCCAAACTGCCCAATGTGGTAACCGTGGTCGGCAGTGTAAATGATGTAAGTGTTATCCAGCTCTCCCGTCTCCACAAGCATGTCATACAGCTGAAACACAGCACGGAGTCAGTCGTGACATGGCAGATGACATTCCATAGTGTAGCCACAATTTCGCCCAAATCTTTTTCCCATTATTTTCTAAAAGCCATGAGTTGCTTTAATAAGGCTGACAAACAAACACTAACCACATTTTCTAACTGCTTACAATCCTGGAGGGAAAAGGTTCAATGATACATTTGAAATGTAACTCTTTTGAATCTGTCACATCCCACTTAAAGTTTTTGTTTGTGTTTTGGGAAAAATAACAAGAAGACATAAAACAATCTTTACTACCAAACTTTATAGAGTTTGCTTTGAAAATGCATTTGTAAATCAAATTTTAATTTCATCACCCTTTTATCTAATTATCAAGAGTTAAAAAGAGGTTGCCTCTGAGCCTGATGCAGGCATGTCTTATTTGGCTTATGCTAGATTTTAAAATTCAGAAATTTTCAATTTATTCATTTATTTATTTATTTCTGGCTTCTTTTACAAAGTCAGAACACTCAACTATATATGACTCACATTTCTGCATGGCAAAACTGAGCTGGGGCTGAGTAGTTGCTGTTTGCCTTAGGCAAGGCACTTAATTTTAAGTTCACCACGGTCACTACCAGTTCCTATTGCCTTATACTAAACCTACTTTGCTTAATTTCTGAAGATATTTGAGGGGGTAACCACTGATTTGGTATGTCTTGTTATTTCGTCTGTCACTGGTTTCCTAAGAGCATCAGCAAGTTGCTGACTCTCTTCCTCTCTCCCTCATAGCATGATGCTGGAAAACAAAAAGAACAGGAAAGACAAAGGAAGTTAAACAAGAGCCACCACTGAGAGGCAGCTCATGTTCTTACCCTTTCCACAGAATCATCCACTGACATCAAAGTCTGGAGCCGTTTGCGCTGTAGAACGTTGGTAAATTCCATGTGGATGGGCAGCATTGGTCCTGTGTACTGCATAATCCAGTGCTTATCCATATTTGGTGCATAGTTATAACTAGGAGTTCTGAAAATATCCAGAAAGGAATTTTATATGTATTTTTTTATTTAGTCATATAGGGAAATAGCTGAAGTTAGAGGTTAGTAAGTAATCAGTTAAGAAAGATAACACTGCTGAAGTATTTTTTCCCCCAAGAATCTCCCCCTTTGTGTTTATAAGAAGATCTGAAGTCCTTACCACTCTAAACAGCATTTATCCTCTGAAGGTATATAAATCCAAACTAAGAAAACTAAACGTGGCAGCTAAACTTGAAATTAGTGCGAGTTCACTTGGGTTCAGTGAATAAAATGTGTAAGAAACACATCAAGATGATAATGCTTCTGTTACAAACCTACAGATAAAACTCAGTGGTTCAGAAGGAATGTTCTCAGGGTGATGTTAGCTCATAAAAGTTTTATTGCTAATTAGCCTATTAAATAAGAGTCACAGATGTGTGGAAAGATGATACATCACAATCTCAACACATCTTTTCTCTCGAATCTCTTAAGAGCATTTTATTGATTACTTATATATCTCTGTGAGTTTTTTCTCATTCTTAGTGTTATATTTAAAACCATTAATTTAATTAGATTCTCTGGAATTATAACCGAGACTATTTCTGCAACTTACACATTTACCAAGCAAGCAATTCATTTCCTAGACAAGTCAATACTGGTATAGGGCATGATTTTTGTTAACCACAGGGCAGTAGGTTCTGTTGTTCTCAGATAGGTTAGTTCAAGCCTATGGTTAATCTATGGCAGAGAGCCCAGTAGCATCTTGTCCATTCCTTCGGGGACTCATGCAATATGGCTCTTTCCCACTGCAGCCTTATCCAACTCCCTCTCCCACTCCTTAGATGCTACCACCTCATGATCCTGAAGTGCAGAGAGGCCCTTAACTGAGAACTTTCCACTAGACTGTAGGTCACTTGAACCTACTTTTTAAATGTTATTAGGCATATGGGCTGTGAGTATTTACCATGCAATTTAAAATTTTAAATGTATTTTAAATACATTAACTCATTTAGTTATCTCAGTTGTTCTGGGAAATAGGTCTACTAGCTCCATTCTAAAGATGACAAAACCAAGGCTTAGCAAAGTGAAATCCCTTCTCAAATTAGTAGGTGACAGAATCAAGACTGAATTCCAAAGCTCACTTGTTTTAACAAAATGAACAAAAAATTAAGGGAAGGTTGCTTCTTACATCTGAGATGGCTTTTAAACATAAATGGTAATTTTACAAATAACCAGTTTCACAGAATAAACAACAGTTTATGCTGATTGAGAAATCTGGTTACCCATCTCTGTTCTGGAGAGAAACCTGTCAGTAAAGGATTGTGGGTAAGGATGGCTGAAGGGGACCTCAGGAACAACCAATCATTATAAACCCAGTGATTTCAGGAGACTTGACTGAGTAACCTACTGATTCTGCAGTTGTGTGAATTTCCAATGGGGAAAAATTTGGAGTTTCTGAGATGCATGGTTGTACACTGAGAACTTCTCCTCATACTAAGCCACATAAATGTCACTTGTTAGATATTTTCTTCTCCTAGGAGAGTTGCAAGAACCTCCTTTCTTACATTAGAAAGTACTAGCATGGTTCCATTGCCTGCCAGTTACACAAAGTTACCCTGATGATCAGTACAGATGCTGGTTAATTAGCAATGTCATAAGTACCAGTTAAGCTCAGAAGACACTGTTCCTTCACGTGCACAAGTTATTCTCAGAAGAATAAGTCAACTACCATGTAAAGGGACAGTTTTATAGAGTGGAAAAGAGAGTACAGCTTGATTTGCTCATCTGTAAATAGGGCTCAAGGCACTTCTCTTGTTTAAGTGATATAGATATCACTTAAAATGCCTAGAAGAGAGGCCCCCGATTTTCTCCTCCATGAGCTAATAAACAAATACATTGCATACAAATACCTGGGTTGAAAAACATCTTGTAATATTAAAATACAAACTTTTCAGGTATCACCTGTCTTTTTTTTTTTTTAAAAGAGAAGCTTTCTACATAAATTTTCTTCTGCCTACTAAATAAATGATTTATGGACCAAATAGCCCTGTTTTTTGGCCTGAAAGGATTCCGCCTATGAAGAAGTAAAGCCCAGTGGGAAGGCTGTGGATAAGGGCTGAAGTCCATGCTTCTCATTCTTCATGAAGCATGTCGAGTTACAAACAGGATTAGATTAAAAGGTTGAGGAGAAGGAGAGAAGGGCTTCTAAATCCTTTTGCAAAGGGTTTTTCACCCACGGGGGTAGTTTGAGGTCAGAGAAATACAACAGGTTGGTCGTGAAAGGTCTCCTAACCATTTACTGATACGTGCCCTGAAAGAGAATACAGCTATAAAAGATTACACAGGGCTTCTTTATAATAAACATCCTCCTCTTACTGCCTTTGATGTTGGGTTGGCTTAATTTAAAAATAAATCTAGTTGACTTTTTTAAAACCACAAAACCTCAACGCAAATAAAAATTACAATAGGGAACCAGCCTGCAGGCTCACAGTGGGCAAATTACATCTTCCAGCAGTTACCTTGATGTGCTTGGGGCAGTCCCACCTCACTTTGAGGAGCAGGGAAGCTTGCAGCAAATTATAAGCCTCAAATCGAACTCCCGGATTTACCGAATGACATATGTTAAATCTGGCTTATATTAAAAGGGAGAGTTGGAGGCCTATTGTCAAAGCTTCCTACCCCTCCCTACTTTATTTTTCTGAATTTCTGGATGTGGAGGATGACCTCTCGCTCCAGGGATGAAATTCCAGGTGGGATCCGGAGGGTGGCAAGGAGGGGGACGTGCATTTGCCTTTTAAAGGAAAACAGACTGCCACTGCTTCCCCAGAACAGCAGCTGTTCAGGGGTCTGCAGGTGGAAGGTGCAAGGTTGCTGGAGTTGACAATGCTGTTGAAAAGTAATCTTTTGCCAAAGGCCTGTGGTCGCCTCCTGCTGAGATCTGCCAAATTCCTTGAAGATGCAGCCTTCTGTCCCCCAGTGATAATTAAGGCTTCCTTCCCTAACTAGGGATTGACTTAAAACTGTTCAAACAGGGCCTGGAGCTGTCAGCTGGAACACAAGCCACTGAAAGTAGCAGGGGAGTGTTTTAGGTTAAAGTGGAAAAAAGTACACATGCAGTTATTCCATGAGGTTTTGGAATCAGATCTCATTTTCCATCCCAACTCTTCTTACCTACTACAATGCAATTCTGGACAATGTTTTCTTTTTGGTTTAAGCCTCAGTTTCCTCATCTGCTTCATAAGAGTAACAACTCTGAAGAGTTCTTGTGAGGATTAAGAGATTTTGTTGACTCCAGAGATGGAATTATGGGAGTACACCGTACCTTCCTTATAGGTAGCGGGGAGAGAGCTTATCAGGTAATTGCTCATTAAGGCATCTTATTCCCATAGTACAAATGAAAAGATAAAGTGCACAAATTGGCAGCTCTCTGACAGTGCTCCTACTCTATCTAGTGTCACCTTGACCAGAGTCCCAAACCATGTCACCAAAAAGAATCTCAAAATCACAGCCATTAAAAGGAGAACTGGTAAGCACATTCCTTCTTATCAAAAGTAAATCCTGCAATCTTTAACATTCATCCTAATTTAAAACATTCTGTTTCCCACCTAGGGATCTCCCTGCAGTTCCTGAATGTCAACTTTTGTGCAAATACAAAGTCTCACCCTCTAAAGCACATTGGCTGCATTACTGAAAAGGTAGATAACATTCCCTGTTGCTTTAAGAACAAAAGGACAAAGGACCAGACTGTCATTTTGGGGTTTCTATTGCTTTCTTTAAAAACAAAATCTGAAAGGAGAGGGTGATGTGGGTTGAATATGATCGTAGTTGCATTATATTACCATTAAACAAGAAGGGGATTCAGAAAAGAGTAATATAGAGGGGGTGAATTTGATCAAACTATATTTTATGCATGTATGTAAATATCACAATGAAACCCCTTTGTAAAATTAATTTATGCTAAGAAAAAATCCGTGTCAGAAGTATAGTACACATGTCTAGCCTGCTAAGACTTTTTATTGTCTATACTATTAGGTTTTACCCTGACCTGTGCATCCTAGAAATTATACTCCCAAGAAAACATACCTGCAGTCCTCCATAGACTATTCCTGAATTTAAAAGTTATAACTTTGCCCAGCAAGGCTTCTCTGCACACCACTCTTCTCTGGCCATTGCTTATTTGGCTTTGGAGTTCAGTTCCCTGACCACCCATTTTCATGTTCAGTCCTCTCCATCACATAAATTCTCTTTGGGGCTGGATTCTCTTTTCAGCATTACTTATTGACAAAATAGGAATAAGAATTCTGAAAGTCAATAGAGTCACCCTTTTCTTTAACAGACAAGTATCATAGGAGAATAAGTTGCTAAGAAAGAAATAGTTTCAAGAGATGCATGTATTATGTATTAAATCCATACCTAGGGCATCACAGGGATCTTAGCAGTTCATTTTTACTGCTGATGGCCTTTGCTGTCATTGCAGTGGAAATACACTTCTTGTGTTTTATATTTGAACATGTGTTTTTTCCATTTGTTTAGTCTCAAACAACAACAAAAACACTGATAATCAAACTCTTAAAGGATACTGGTAGCAGGACCATCATTCCCTGAGAAATAAAATAGGTCTCATGCTTCAGAACAAGCCATTTGTACAGGTTTAAGAGGCACACTGAAAGCATTAAATTGGAAATTCTATACTCATCTTCCCAAGCCACACCATCTCGATTTTCACTAAAATTGAACTTACTTAATTGCCTTTATGGAGATATTCCCCACCTGACTTCAAATGTCTTTAGATAGGTAACATTTGAACACATGTAGGATAATACCAAATGATCTTGATTACAGGCATAAGATAAGAATAATTTAGAGTCTTTTAAACACTAATTAGAATTGTGCAAATACACAGAAACCACCTCCTACATTAATTGTGGCTAGGATGTGACCTGAGCAAACCTGGCATGGTGGGAAGATAAGCAAAATGTTTATGTGATTAGCTTCCCCAGATCAGGGGCCAGTCTTACAGCTCCTTGCTGTTTTCACTGGGCCCAGCCAAGTATTTCTGCAAAACACTTAACTTTTACATCCCGTTGCTTGAATGGGCTGCTGATGTTTTCGCTAAGGAAACTGGTCATTCAGCAACTGGCAGCTTGTCTGCAATTTGTCTCACTCCTTTTGTGTGAACCTGTGCACTCACTGGATGCCACACGGGCGCACACTCTCTCCCTCCAGCCTTTTCCTCCAGCAGCAGCCAGGGAAACCTCACAACAAAGATGCCAGGAATTGGAGGTATTGAAGACCTGCTGGAGATGGAGCAGATCTTCACCTGCTAGGTGCACGAAGCCCAAGTCTTTGTTGCAAAGAGAAGCTGAATTATCCACCAACCACAAGAATTTTCATTTTCTGTGGCTCGGAATTCAGTTCTCCACACTGGCACTCACCCACAGCTCACACGTACACCTGGAAGAGGTAACACTGCCTCGCTGGGTGTTATCCTGTCTGCTATTTTAGAATGGTGAGAGGCTCACCATGATGCAGTCCTGGCTTGTCAAGAGATGTGCCTTGTCACCATGGATAAAGCACAGCACAGTCATTTCTCTCGCTACTTCCCCTAAACCTTAAGTTCAGCAGTATGAAACTGTACTTCTTGAAGGATAAGAAAGATCCCGTAACACATTGGCAGCTGTGCATGGCTCATCACATTAGAAAACCCAATAAGATTAACTCTGATGGAGGGTGGAGAAGCTTCTATGTACCCAGCACTGTGGTGACTTCACCTACATTGCCTCTCTGAAGATTTATTCATGACACACATCAAGGTAGTGATCCGATTCCCATTTTGCAGATGAGATTCTGGAGGTTCTTTTTTATATTTGTGGTAGTGGGCTTTGAACTCAGGGCCTTCACCTTGAGCCACTCCACCAGCCCTATTTGTGTGAAGGGTTTTTCGAGATAGGGTCTCGAACCTCACTGGCTTCTAACTACAATCTTCCTGATCTCTGCCTCCTGAGTAGCTAGGATTACAGGCGTGAGCCACCGGTGCCCCGCAAGTTTCTGAGGGGCTGAAGAAACTTCTCAGAGCATAGTGAAGACAGCTAAGGCCCAACTATTTTGCCCTCTGCATGAATAGATTTTTCTTTATCAAATCAAATCATATCATATCAAACCAATGGTTAGCTGATTCATTTGAACTAAAAAGGAATAAATGAATCCATTTGCATGTGGGAATAACCACGTGGACTCATAATTTGTTATTGCCCTTGTTACATGCAAACTCACTGAAGTTCCTAATATTTTGCAAGTGTTTTCTTAAAAAGAAGGTTTTATTGTTTTCTTTGCACCCTTTGTCAAGTTCCTAAGTCACATCTTACATTGTCCTGCTTATATCTTTGTCTATGCCATAATCTGTCCCGAAACCATCTACCCACTACCTGCAGTCATTTCCCCTATCTTTTCTCTCTCGCTCTTGTTTTTGTTTTTGGTTTTTTTGGCAGTACTGGGTATTGAACAGAGGGCTTTGCCTATGCTAGGCAAACATTTTACCACTTGAGCCATTTTGATTTTGAGACAAGGTGTTGCTAATTTTGCCCCCAAACTGGCCTTTAACTCCAGATCCTCTTGCTTCTGCTTCCCACATAGCTGAGATTCTAAGCATGCCCAACCATGCCCAGCAGTTCCCCATCCTTTGAAACCCACTTTGAATGCCTCTTTATCCATAAAATTTAGTTCTCCCCAGATACTTTCTTTCCAAAGTTCCACAATTCCATGACTGCCTGATCTGCACTTGCCACTTCTGGTACTACTGGTGATATGGCTATTTGGACAATTGCCTGTCTTTCCCCTAAAACAGGAATCAGGACAAACTTACTTTGCAAAAAGATCAAATGCTTAACATTTAGGCAGCACAGGTCATATGGTATTTGCCACAAACTACTTGTGTCTTAGAAACAGCTGCAGATAATATATAAATGAAAGAACATGGGTCTATTTCAATAAACTTCATTAACAAAAACTGGTGGCAAGCTAGACTTGGACTATGGGCCCCTGTGTGTCAACCCTTGCCCTAGCTTACTGGTTACTGTGTGTTATACACTATTCTCCATCAGCCCATCTCTGTGTTGTGCAGCACTCCTAAATACTTGTGGAACAAATAGCCTCTCTGATTCCAACAATGAAAAACTGTTACTACTGAGGCCCTGAGAACTGCAGATTGCTTTCTGTTGCACATGCAACCAAGCTGTCAGAACCTCTTGACCTGCAGCTGATTTTCCCATAGGCTTAGGGCCTCACCTTGAAGCTTCAAAGGCAGGCTAACTTCTAAGGAACCACAAAACATCATGTTTTATCAACCCCTTCTCCATAATCTCAGGGAAACACCTGTAAGGTTTATGGTTGTAGAAAGTCACCTTAGGCCATGCAACAAAGTAAGGTACACAGAGATTTCTGATTCAAAGGAAAAGGGAAAAGGTAGGTTTCAGGGTATGGTGGAAACTTCCATGCATCCTTTCACTGAATCAGCTGATTGCCAAATCTGTTATTAAAGAGAGCCACTCGCCAAATAGCTTCATTCATAAATTTATTTGCAGAATTCCCTGTAGGGTAAGAACTTCAGAGGTTTGTGTATCTGCCCACGGAGCTGATTCTAAACCACAATGGCTCAGGGCAACCTTCTTTATAAATCACCATATTTCATGCAATAAAACATTTGTTGGACGTGTGGCTCAAGTGGTAGAGCACCTATCTAGCAAGGGCAAGACCCTGAGTTCAAATTCTAGTACCACAAAACATAACAAAACAAAACAACAGCAACAAAATACTGTATCCTCCAGTTTCCTTGACATGCTCAGTAAGGGCCATCTTGGTTTCACATTTCTTGTTAGTTCTTTCCCCAACTCAGCTATGACCTCCTTCTTTCTAGTCTAAATCACTTGATATGATATCTGTAGTCACCAGTCAATTAGTTATAATAAGATACAAAGTAAGAATATAAAGAGGAGGTTCTTCCAGGCAACTAGAGTGCTGTCAGCAGTTACTGATCTATTTTCTTAAGGTTCTTTCTTTCTGTGACCTTGTCTAAAAGCCAGTGTGGATGAAAAGGGATGCTATTTAAGCACAAATGGATTAAGACACACCTTCGGAGGTTTGTGATAAAGAAAGAAGCTAGCAATTCCCTGTTCCCTGCCTTTCTAATGGGTGAGCTTTCGTCAGACCCAGCACCAGCCGCTTGGTGTGGAAGACTGCATGTTGATGCAATGGTTGGGAAGAAACATGTTGACAGAGTCAACAACAAAATTGTGTTCTTTGCTTCCAAGGCACCCAGACTTTTCCACTCTTGCCTAGTGAGGATTATCAGCTTACTGTAGCTCTCTCCTCACCATGTCCTCCCTCTCTGCCATCAGGGCCTTGCCTTCACCTCCCCAGCCCTTCCTCTTAAGACTTCTGCCTCTCAAAATGAAACATCAGGTTATTTTAAAGCCGTGACTTGAGAAGGCCTCCTGGGCCAGCCACTCAAGCTGCTTTCTGTGCAATTCTAATTGCGCATCTGCAGCAAAGCTGCTGTACTGTTTGCCTGGAAAACAAACTCAGGCTTCTTCTGTAGCCAGCTGTGAAGGCATACCATGAGATCGCGGTTATTAGAGGTAGGTCATACTAGTGAATATTACTCAAGCCATCGAAACGGAACTCTAGGTAAAAATGCCCCTGTTCACCAAAGGGCGTGTCTTCATTTAACTACTGGTAGAGGTTGGAAATGTGACTCCTGACCAATCCACTTGCACAAAGCTCTGTTTCAGGTCTGGCGGCTCTGTCTGTTCCTTGGGGCGTACTCAGGTTATCATCCTGTCATGATGGACACTGGTTTTCTGCCATGTGGCTAGGCACGGTAGAGGAAAATGGGGTAAAAGCGAGAATCAGGGTGGGAACAAAGGAAAGGGTGTGTGCTTGGCAGGGCAGTGTTGATGTCAATACTCACATGTGTTGGGAAGCATTGGGGTACAGTTTTGAAAACTGTGGGGCCGAGTCCTCAGGGCCGTGGGGCGCAGCGTGGCTGATCACCATCATAATGGGCCTATGGGGATACATTCTCTTAGACATTCTGAAGTAATTAATGCTCTCGTTAGTGATTAAGTCTGTGAAGTAGTCCTGAAACATACATTTGACACAAAACAAAAATTACAAAAAGGGACAGTCATCAGATCACATTTGAACACTGCTTTCCTCAGAAGCAACTCACTGAACGCAGAGGTAAGGTTGGAGGCAGCAATGTCTTCAAAAAAAGAGAAAATCAGTTGCCATTAATTTCTAGGGTTGCTGGCTTAGTAACATGCAAAAAACAAAAAAAAAACCAATGTATTTTAAATAATGTACAATTTAGCAATTAGGGAAGAAAAAAGGCAAGTCATATTTGCCCAAGGTAATGTTTAGACCTGGCAATCCAAGGGCAAGAGCACATGAAACACCGGATACATGTTTCATTCTCAGGTTTCACTGATGTAATTCACTGGCAACAAATTTAATTACTTCAAGGGAAGGAAACACCCACGCCCACTTCAAATTCGTAGTGGCAGAACACACACACACATAAACACGCTCCCTCATGAACACATACTCATGCACACACGCTGATGCACACAAATACACAAAAACAAGGAAGAATCTTTCCTTCAAATTAAAAATTCACCTGTGGAAAAAACACAATAATTGCTAACCAAAGCCATGGCCAAAATTCTGGTGCACAGGGAAAAGCTGCAACATTTTATCAATTAATTGACTTGAAACACTTAAATATGAGGAACAGTTGATTTCCTGCAGATTATACTGTGTTAATTGCACAACTAAAGTCATATAGCTGCTGGGATTAGAACCTGACTCGCTAATAAAAATGACTTAACCCACAGTCAAGGGGGTGCTGCACGTCTGTAGAGGGAGGAGAGAGAGGAACTAGAACGAAAGGGAAAGAGAGGATGAAAACTTAAATTGAACCACCTCTGCTTCCTCTAGGTGTGTCTCATTGGCCTAGGGGGCCAGTATAAAGTTTATTCAAGAAGTTCGAGGCAATGTTTACTATGTCAGAGATTCCAGGCATGGCTAGTCACATGTCGTGGATTTAAGGACTAGAACAGCTGCAAAAGCAGAACTAGAAGGAAAAAAATCTGTGTCGTAGGTCATTGTTAGGACAGGCCCACAGGTTGTTCCCTTTTGCCACAGGGTGTCTGTTTCATTTCTTTCCTTACTTAAAAAAAGAAAGAAAAAAAGAAGATACATGTTCTTTCCAGACACAGTTGTCTTTGACGCTTAATCAGCTGTGGTAATGTGCAAGTTACGCTGATTGAGAATTTGGAGAGGATCTTGACTACTTTGCTCTCCTTAGGACAACAGGGAATGAAAGGTTAATAGCTTAAACAGGAGCATGAAAAGCGTCCCCACAGATAGAAAATGATAGCAGTGGCAATTAGTGCACGTGGCACACATCGTTTGCACGCAGTGATTGTATCCACGACCAGGGAAGTGACCCAGGGTACGTGAGTGGTTGAACCACTGTAGCCTGATTTTCTTCATCTTTTAAAATGAGGACATGGCTCAAATTTGCTTTCACGGTCCCTGCCAGCTCTCAACTTTGATGAGTCTAGAAGCCTATTAGCAGGGTTTGTGAATTCATTTGCATTCATTGTTTTTCTGAAGGGTATGAAAAATCTGTCCTTACACCTTATCTCCCTCTTCAAGTCCCTTGTGCTCAAATCAGGCCAAGTATAAAGACAGCAGTGTGCCAACGCCATTAAATCAAGTTCTCTCTTTCCATTTCTGCCAACAACATTAAATCAAATTCCCTCTTTCTGTTTCTACCAAGGGTTCAAGCTAGCTAGTTTGAGCTGATTCTTGGCTTCTTTAAGGAAAATGAGAAAGAGATGGGTACAAAAAGGGAGAGGAGTATTTTAAAGCAAATTAGCAGCCTAAATTCAAAGATATTTTCCCTTTCTCTCTCATTATCTGGGAAAAAAATTCAATTTAAGTTAGCAATCACACATCTTTGTGAATTTTAAAGTCAAACCTGATCCTGTTGTTAGAGAGACCCATGAAAGGGGCCAATTTCAGTTTCTATAAACTGATTTGGAAATCCCACAGTTAATAGCATTAGAGACTTATAGACTCTTGACTGCCATGGGGCAGGTATCCTTGTCACATGGACTAAGCTTGGGCAGACAGGAGTAAAAACAAGTAGTGTTGTTTCCCAGTCTTAAGTTATTGAGCTTGTCGTCTTTATTTTTACATCTAAATCTGAAGCCCCAGACAAAATATGCTTTCAATCCATTGAAAAGCAAAACAGTACAAGATGAACATTTGATTATGTGGACAAGCCTTCCAGAGAGAAGGAAAAACAAAAATTATCACAAGACAGACCAGAGGATGTATGATTTTCTTGATGATACTTTCATCAAAGGCTGATTGCCATTCACCCTAATGAGGGAGGAAAATCACTCTACAAAGGCAGTGTTATTTGAAGAGTCCCATTCTTGCCTGGAGTTGAAAATTACCTTAAAATTTCTCATTCTAACATTGTGAGAGCATAGAAAGCCAATCTTGTGGATACTTTAACTCACTGAAAATGGCTTTTCCCCATTATGCACAAAGTAAATTGGTGCAGTGTAAAAGTGCCTGAAAATTACCTTTGCATAATCAAATCCATGCTTTTCTTTGATGCCATTGCGACAAACAGTGTAATTATAGAAACGAGAATTCTTGATTAATCCAAGCCATTCTCGCCACCCAGGAGGGATGTAACTGCCATTATATTCATTGAGGTATTTTCCAAAAAAGGCTGCAATGGGGGAGAAAAAAAAGGATTATGTTCTCATGTAAGATGATTAATCACAAACAAATGCATAAATATGAAAATATGATTTGAAAAAGTGATGGTGAAATGAAAATTAATCTAGGTAACAGCAATGCCAAAATAATAATAGTGTTCTTCAGTTCTTTGGCAAAGCGACACATTTTCCTTTTGAATAAATGTAAGTAGCATTGAAGAACATGGATTATGGTTCAATAAAATCACCATAATGATTATAGCACACTGGGGAATCTATTTCTTATGGTCCTCCTGGAATAAAACCAGAATATCATTTTTTGTTAAGTTGAGGTAACAATCAGGGAGGTTGCCAGTGTGAGATATGGGATGCTACCATTGGGTAACTATTAGAGAACTGAAAGTTCAGTCTTTGTGACAAAATTAAGTTGTCTAATTTACTTTGAGAGTGGTGCATTACAGAAATACTATTGAAAAGCTCATCTTGGGTCTCATGTATCCAGAAAATACCAATTTTCCAAAGTCAGGAACCATGGTAAACTCCATTTTTATGCCCATGGTCAGGGTTTCCATGTTCTATTTATGTTATGTGTATTTTATGGATGTGCACATCAACTATTGATAATAACAAATTCTGGCACCACAGACTTGCTATACAGATTACTAATATTCATAGGATGATAGTATTATGGTAGTCTCTGTGACACAAATCAGCACTACTCATTAAAAAGGCCCCTGGAAGGACTTCACATGTGTAATTTTGGAATGTCACATCCAAGAAAGGCCACCATTCTTCAGGAAGGAAGAATGTGAATTTTGTCCTGTGCTGAAGAAAAGTAAGAGAGGGAAAAGAAGAAAAGAGGAGGCTGGGATTTCAGCAACAGATTGGCTTATATATTAAAGCCAAATACCTTAAAATCATCAGAAGGGTAGCACTAAAGGCATTGTTTGGACAGTTTTGAGAGAGAAAGAGAGTACTTCTTCCAATTCTTGTAGTTATACTAGGAAACAAGCACTATTTTGGGTAAACGTAAATGTTTGGTTACCCTATTTATCCAGAAAACTTTATTTTACATATGCATGTACAGAGCTATGTAGCTATATGGGTATATATACATGCATACATATATTATACATACATACACATATCCAAGTTTTAGTTTTTCTGATCTTTGCAATGCTTTTGTTTAGAGAGAGATCATGTTGCAACTGGCCTGGAATTCACATATTCTTGCTGTGGCCTCTAGAGTGCTGAGATTACAGGTGTGCACCACCATACCTGGCTACAACTTAGCAGGCTTCATAGGTGCCACCACTTATTTATACAGCTTGGAATGAAAAAAGAGATCCTAGAACTGAGGCCTTTATTGGCCTTGGTCTTAAAGCACACATTTTTGAATCTTAAACACTGAGTATCTATGTGTGATAGTCATTTAGTTTGCTTTCATCTTTGACTTACAACTACATACAGAGCTTCTCTGTGGGAATGTTTTACTTGTTCCTTAGAGCAACCATCCAAAATGGAATGAACCGTTTTCCCTTTTAAATTTACTTTACTTCCACCATAATCTAGGGATTCTATAAATTCTAGATTTTAAATCTTCATGTTTTTACTTGAATTACAAGTGTTTTAAGCTGATTTGGTCTTCTAAAAATATTTACATAGAACAGAGCTTCAGAGCTTCTGAAGTTAGTATTTCTCCTTAGTTTTACTTTCTTTGGAAGCAATCTGGACTCAAGTCTGAGAAACATGGCACTGTGTGTTTACTTGCTGACAGGATGTTTTCTTGTTGAATCTGTAGATGAATGAACCAATCCAGTGGTCAGCTAGTCAAGTGCCCACTGCTTGAGAATTCTGCCCCAGCTCCCAAGCAGGTTGATGAGTGTAGGACAAAATGTCAGGTGGCTTAGGATTTTCCTCCAAGCTGACTATTTGCAGGAAGAATTCTTGTCTTTAGTGAGTACTTGGCCTTTTCACAGAGAACCACAAGATGATTTTCCTTTTCCAACAAAACACAACATGACTTGGAATTACAGGCAGCAGACCGGGGCATACCCTGTGTATGGTTAGTTCAGAAGGGGCCTGTTGACAGCAGCTTTATACTTAATAAACTTGGGCCCTCCTCCTTATCCCCAGGGGTTTATCCTACATTTCTGTCCTTTTGTTTTCAAAGAGGTAAAAAAGCATAGACTATACACCTTAGAGCCAGCCTGCCTGGGTTCAAATCCTGGCTGTGCTTCTTGCTAGCTATTCATCCACAGGCAAGTTCATTTACCTCTGCTCCTCTCATCTCTGTCAAGATATGATGATAAGAACAGTGGCAAGATGGTTGTGAGGACAAATGAGTTAATCCATAGGTAAAGCACTTAAGCAGTGTCTGGCACAGATCACAGGCTTATGAAGTGCTGCTACTCTTAGTATTATTATTATATTAGGTGTCACCATTGCTGTTATCTTTTCCACTATGTCTTCTCATTTTAAATATCTTACCATCCTGCTGTACAAGGAAACCTTGCTCTGTTGTCCTGTATCATGCATTTGCAAGCATCTTGAGAGGTGGTTTTTTTGTTGTTGTTGTTTTGGTTTTTTGCCTCCTACGATGACTTATTTTGTGGAAATAAATTCTTTCCCATTTGGCTTCCATTTTCCTGCTACTTTTGGTGGGTTTTCCTCCTAGGGCAGCCATACCTGTCCTTCCTACCCTTCCTGTGCTGTTTTACTTTTTAGGTCACTTTGTACTGTTTCTGCCCATTGCCATGGCTGTTGCCCTTTGCCTTAATCCTCCCCTTTTAAAGGACTCCTTCAAGTCTCCTAATAGCCCTTGTTACTGCCTCAGAACTCCCTCCAGGTTTTCTGTGTCTTTGTGTTAATGGAGTGTGAGAAATGTACTTAGGATTCAGATGTGCCCTCACCTATCACAGTGGTCCAAGAGAGACCAAGCCCTGTGTGACAAAACAGCACCCGGCGCTGCCAGCCACAAGTTACTCCGCCCACTTTCACTGCTCCTTACTGCCCTGTGACATTTAATCTCATTTGTGATCACCCCTGGCCTCTCTGGACATAGCATTTCCTGGTAGTACTCTGCAATTGATTATCTGGGCTTCTAATTCTTTTCCTCCAGGTGTATTGAATCTCTTTGTCTCTCCCTAAGGTGAGGTTTTTTTTTTTTTTTCTGGCTCATATTACCATGATGTCTTTGTATAAGTTCTGGAGAGTGTGAAGTTTTTCAATCCTGTCGCATTGGCAGTTGAACTCAGCTATAACTATTTGAATACATTGCTAACAAGACATTCATCTGACTTTCTATGTCATTTCTCTTCTTTTGGGTGCCATTAAATACATACCTTCACAGCCATTTCAAGACTGGATGATAGGAGAAAGATAAGAAAGCCCTGATTATAATTATTGTTGGCTGGAGGCCATGGTACTTTCTGTCTAGGTCTACCTGTTACATAATCCTTAGAAAAATTTCTTTTAACTATTTGAAGCAAGGGCATTTGTTTTTAAGTCAGCATAGCTCTGCATAGAATACCTGATGCTTCAGAAGTTACACCTTATTTAATAGATTGAATGATATATTTATTGTAATTTTACTCCATGTAATCGATAGGCTTGGGGTGGCAGGATTTCACCGTAGTAACTGTAAGTATGCATAATTCTGAACCAAGTTAAAATTATGATTTGTGTCCATTTTCATTCATGGGTTTGTTTTTTCCAACTGGATTGTAGGTCTAGTGAAGACAGGCAGTATCTTTTCATACTGAAGTATCTGCTGTAGTTCTAGACACACTGTGGTTCAATAAATGTATGCTTCATTTCATGTTCACGTACCTATTAAAAAATCTGTAATACCACAATCCATAAGAATAAGAAAACTAGGTTGTCTTACTTTAGTGAACTCTGCATTTAAATAAATCCCATACTAGAGAATAAATAAATAAATAAATATACCTGCTATAAGTAACATAAAATTTATAATGTAAAAAGATAGGAAGTTAAAAGGTAGATTAATTTATCTAAATTTATCTGTTACAAAAGAATTCTTTGCAAACAACTAATTGCAAAGCTAGGCACAGGGTCATGTGCCTGTAGCCCCAGCTATTTAGGAAACTGAAGTATGAGGATTGATTGAATCCATGAGTTTGGGGCCAGGGTGGGCAACACAGAGAGACCCTATTGCAGATCTCCTGCCCCTTCCATTGGAGGTATGAAGCAGAATTACTGTGACTAAAATTCAATTCTTTTGTAATTTTATATACTGTGTGCTATGATTTGAATAACATAATTTTTTACAAATCCACATAATTACTTCAGTCAGTACGATAAAGCTGCAATATGTTGTTGGACAGGAAAGAAAATTTAGGAACATTCTGGGCCAATCTCTGCATTACATAGTTGGAAACTGACCAAAGCCTTCAAAACAAATGAAAGGCAGCTAGGATGGTTTTCCTTACGTTCAATGTTTCCTCTTAATCATGGATGGTTGTTTTTACCTTAAAATTTATGATACATTTTCTATTAATGTTTATCCCCTCCTGAGAAATTTAACTGATTTTTAGCAGATAGATAATAATAGATGAACCATATTGTTCCCACTTCACTTTGCCAGAACAAAGCTTAATAGAATTGTTACTGTATTTTTCCTTTCTTAAACACTTAAGCTCTTATAAACTCATATTTTCCATGAGTAAAGTGAGAAAAATTTAGGCTACGACCAATCCAAAAAATATGCTTAAGTTCTGCAAAAGAAAAATCATGTCATACAATGGTAAATGTAAAATTGGATCAATTCGATTTATTTAAACCCATGTATTCTGGAGGCCTTCCAAAATAAGCCACTTAGTACTTTGTCTTTTTTGAGTTGTTCATAAAACTCATTGCCTCTTTGTGCCTTGCTCTAGGTGGTTACTTATGTATCATACATATTTCAGTTTCCCTTATTATCTGTGCTTAGGTTTACAACAAAATATTCCAAGTTAACAAACTCATAATTAGGAAAGCAATAAAATCTTTATACGTTTTCCCATTGGTTTAGTATTTCATAAATAATTGTGTTGGTTTACTATCTACTAACCAATCTCTTCATTTCCTCACATGCCTATCATTCTTTTGTGCTTATATGTGTACTTTCAAATGGGTCACTGTCACAAAAACATCTAAAGATCACCTCCTAATTCTGAGATACTACCATATTTTCTCATCAAAGATAAATATAATTTAATATTGATCTCTATCACTACCATTTTATTATCTTGAGTACATGGTATCCTGTTAGTACTGCTAAGCATTTGGAAAGTCCTTGCTCCCTTCAAGAGTTCCTTTTATGTTAGAAGGGAACTCACTATCTGTTATAACCTGTGTGTCTCACCCCTGAGAAAATGGCTGGCTATAGAATCAGGCTTGGCTTCCAGGAGCAAATCTCTATCCCTGGAAGGACCACGCTAAAGCTGGCTTGCAGGGCTGCTGAAATAGGACCCACGTCCTCATTAGGACACCTTAGTGCATGCAGCTTCATCCTAGACAGAACCTGAAAACCATTATAACCATTACAACTTCAGCAAGTCACTTTAATCTTTTGGGTGTACATTTGCTCCTCTGAAAATTAAGGATCAAACTAAATTATTCCCAGGCATGTTGGAGTACTCCTGCAATTTCAGCACTCAGGAGGCCGAGGCAGGACATCAAGAGTTAATAGCCTGGGCTACATAGCAAGACCTCATCTCCAAAAAATAAATACAAATTAACACTTTATTATCTCTGAGTTTTATAGTCAAGCCATTCTAATCCATCATAGGAATATAATTGAAATAAGTACAAGAATACTGTATGGTTCTTAGAAGTAACTGATTTGTTTTTATCCTGGTGACCCAATAACCTTTTCAAGGGATAGTGTTTCCATTTTTGCTTTTGCACCTGGAAGCTTAGTTCCAAACATGCTTTTCCCCACTCCATGGCATTTAGTTTTTATGTCAAACTTTGCCTTAACTAGGTATGTCCCTTTGTTTCTGTTTGCCAGGGTCGCTGTTGTTTTGCACCCTATTATGTTTTATGTGTCTCTTAAAGTCATTTTGGAACAAGGCAGGATAGAATATGTACAGAAATAAGATCCTGGAAAGAGGAAGGACTTGGGTGTCAGATGTATGTACTGGGCTCATTCTGCCACTGACAGGCTTGTGACTTTTGATAATTAACCCTTGTTTTCTTTAATGTAACAGAGGAGGACTAGGTGAGAGTAGGTGGTAAAGGAGGTAGGCTGCAAAAGCCAATTCCTTTCTTCCTCACCTTTCCTAAAACAAATCAGCATGCACTATTCGACTACACTAGACCCGATAGGGCTCTGTCTCACACTGCACCTCTATTTCTCAGGCAGATATCATCCATATACTCTGGTTTCAGTGAGAGCTCTAGTCAGTTCTTCAAGCCCCATGTCTGCTGCTAGGAATTAAATGACAGGGAGCCTGGGAGTCCAAAGGCACTGATTTCCCACAACACTTCCCATGAGCAAAACACAATTTGATGGTTAAAATCAGGAACCAGGCATTAGGGGACCATTTGTGATCGTGCTTCTGAGCTGGTTACACAGCATTTGAAACCCCACTTCAGTTATAAAACCCAGCCAAGTACATTTGCCGTCTATGAACCCTACAGGGATGTTTGATGGATTTGCAAATTGCTTTAGAGTCCTCAGATGAAAGGTACTATAAATTTAAATCACTAATGTGAGAAAACACACTATGGAGAAGGCACTCTCTGTAACCTCACTGTAACCCAGTTTCTTTCCTACACAGAGGCAAACCCCCTTGAGATGGCAAGAAGACCTTCTTCTGAGAGTAGAGGGCGTGAGATGCCTGGGAGTGACAGTGCTATCATATGCACAATCAATATTTTCATCCATAAATAGCAAGTATTAAGTGCTCACCAGTCGTTCTGTAAAAAAAGCAAATGGCCACATATTTCCTGAGTCCAATGGGAAAAATCAATTTCATTTTTTAAAGAGATTTAAAGGAATAGTTATCTGAAATCCTTCACTTTTAAACCTTGAGAATAGATAATCTGTGGGCTGAAAATCATTTCCAACAAGCTTTTATGATGGCACCTTTAGTTCTTTTTTTTTTGGAGTGGGGGAGGTGGAACTGGAGGAGTGAACTCAGGGCCTCAAGCTTGCTATGCAGGAGGCTCTACCACTTAAGCCACATCCCCAGCTCTTTTTTTTCTTTAGTTGTTTTTCAGATAAGGTCTCATGTTTTTGCCTGGATCATCCTGCGCCGTAATTCTCCTATTTAGGCCTCCAATGCAGCTGGGATGATAGGTGTGTACCACTGTACTCAGCTATTGTCTGAGAAGGGGGTCTCGCTAATTTTTTACCCAGGCTGACCTCGAACCGAGATCCTCCCAATCTCTGACTCCCAAGTAGCTGGGATTATAGATATGAATCACTGTGCCAGATCCATCTTTAATTCTTATGAATAAATCTATGTGGTTCTTGGGGGAAAAAAGAAAATCAAACTCTGAAGACACTCCATCCACATCCTTATTTCCTTCCATGAAGAAATGCTTAGAAAACCTGACGAATGTATCCAATGCTGGGAGAATAAAGGCTTTGATGGTATCATTCCTAGAACAGCCTTGCTTCTTTCAACTGACACGATATTCACAAGCCCTCTGGAAGGAGGTCCCCAATTTTCAAACAAACTGACTGCCCATTTTGCCCTGCATAGGTTAAGCAGTGATTGCAGGTGTAGCAAGTGGAACACCTTCTGGAAGGTGGAAGTGGACAACTGAGACATCAAACTGACCACAACTTAAGCTAAAGCAAATTCCAAAGCCTTATGAAGTACATACGAAAAAAATAAATGAATCAATAAGGCACACATCACTGGTTTATTCATTCAGCTATTCATTCACCCAATAAGTAATTTTGCTCATCTACGATGTCCCAGACCCTGACAGAGTTATAGCAAATTGAAATTAATTTCCCACTCAAACAATCAGCAGAAATTTATCAACATCTAAGAAAAGCCTCAACCCTAGAGATTCAAAGAAATGGGACAAAAACTCTCTTTTACTGCAGGTTGTCCTGGAAAGTTCCAACTGCTGGGTGCCCCAGTGGACACAGCACTGTCACACTGTGTCCACTGAGAATGCTTCTGACTTTTCTCTAAGGGATCTCCCACTGGTACATTCTCCAGAGCAAAAAGGACACGCTGTAGTTCGAATGTGGTTTGTACTCCCTGAAACTCATGTTGAAATTTGATGGTTCCAGTGGCTATATTGGGAGGTGGGATTTGGAGGGGTATTAGCTTAAGAGGGATTGATGCCTTTCTCCCAGGAGTGCATTAACTACCTGGAGAGCAGCTGTTAGAAAGTGAGGCCACCCTTTCCTGTCATGTCTCATGTACTTGCTTTCTCTCTCACTCTTTGTCACATTATGACACAGTACTAAAGGTCCTTGCTACAAGCTGCCACCATGCTCTTGGACTTTCTAGAATCCCCATTTCAGGCATTCTGTTATAGCAACAGAATATGAACCAAGACACTAAAGTATGGAGAGGATTCTGACAAAGAAGAGAAAAGCTAGATTGTTTTCATTTAGGGGCTTATTGGAATTTTGCATAGATTACCATGCATTTTCTTCCTGTGTCTAAAACATAAGTACTAGAGGTTTAGAAGCTGGAAATGTCATTCTGTTGTTAAGATTCTGTACCTGTTCTGTAGCCTGTGTTGTTAAGATAGACAGCAAAGGTTCGAGGTTCGTGCGTCGCCTGCCATGACGGCGAGGAGCAGTTCTCATTGTTGGTGTAGACATTGTGGTTGTGCACATACTTCCCAGTGAGCATGGACGACCGGGAAGGGCAGCACATGGGTGTGGTCACAAAGGCATTGGTGAAGGTAGCCCCTCCGTGTTCCATAATCTTCCTTGTTTTGTTCATGACTTGCAGGGACCCTAAAAGGAACAATTGCAGCATTGTTTAGCAAAGCGCACCATGTGAACAATACCCACTTCTAGCATATCACTCAGTGTCTGCTTCTCGGATTTATTAATTTCACTCCCCTAATTTGAAGGGGCCTATAATTTGATCAGCTCTCATTTCTAGAACAAAATGAAATATTTGGGATCCTACCATCTCAAGTATTTTGTGGAATAATAAGCACATTTCAGCTTCTTCCCTTCTTAATCACAAGGGGGAAAAAATGCAAGCTAATCTGATAATTAAAGCTACAAGTTTAGATATGGAGCACATTCAAAGGCCAGCGGTCCTTTGATGATTTCCAGAGAACAATAGCCTGTTACACAGAGTATCAAAACCCCGACCTACCACACACAAAAATGCTAGTCACAAGCAGAAATACTAGATGCAACAGTTTAATCATATGGAAGAAAAGAGAAAATGTCCCTTGTTAAGTAAAAGTTCCTCCAAAATGCCTGTATTTAATTAAAAACAAAAAACTCTTCAATGGAACTTAGTATCCTTTAGCAAACTAACCAAATGTCTGCCAATTTTGCTATCAGGACAGGATCACCAGTTTATATTCTGAGTAGTTTTCATATAATTTTTAAAGAAGCTTGCTTGTTTGTGAAAGAGCTATACTTCAATTGCACTCAAAAGTATTTGCATGGTTGCAAAGTTTCCACCTTAATTTTAAGGATGAAATGGTAACATAAGATTGCTAAGGAAGAAAAAAAGTCTATTTCAATTACTCTATCCAGTCAAATTCTGCAGCTGAAACACATCCAAATGCTGCAGAAAAGCTCAGACCAGAATTCAATAGTCTTTTCAGGACTTGTCAAGAAATGCACTGCAGAGCGCTCAGCCAAACCGATTGCATTTGAATCCTGGAGCCTCAGATTTCTAACAGGTCCCACTCCTTCCAAAGAAAGGGAGAAAGTCTATGTTTTCCAGCAAGGAAGGAAATCGTAATGCAAACCAGGCAAGCGCTCAGAGCAGAAGAGAAGTGTGCAACAGCCCAAAAAGTCACAGGTAGCCGATTTCTTCATATATTAGTTTTTGTCTCTACACATGATCATTTAAAAAAAAGAGGAAGATTTCTAATTGGGTCTCCTTAGAGACCCCTAAAATATGCTTCAGCAAGGGGTGCTCCTAACTACTCTTTTCTTCTGGTTGTTTCTGGGGATCGAGCCACCTTTTGTAGTCTGTATGAGAACCCACTTCACACTGAACATTCATTCTGTCGACCTCAGCACTCCAGGCTGATCCCCACAACTGTTCCAGCAACAAAAGAAATGGAAAATTTTCCACCTCAGCTTCTGGTCTTCAGTAGTAAACTCTCAAGATGAAAATTTACACATAGAAACAGTTTGGGGATATTTGCAAAGCAACATATGCACAAGAACGTCAACATAGCAGTAGCGGTAAGTATAAGGAAAGCAGACACTGAGCTAAATGGTTAATAAAGGTTCTGAAATAAGAAATGAGGACAAATGAAAGGAAGAGAAGAAAATGTCAGATGGGTGAAATTCACAGCTGGGGACACAGGGAGGATGACGTGGGTCATGCGCTGGCCAATGAGGAAGAAGTAGAATGCTGTGAATGACACATTGATTTTCTGCATGGAAAGCAGATGGAAGATTCTCTTGATGAAATTTGGGAAGCACAGTTAGCAAATAGCTTGGAAGCTGGTCAGAGATGCTTAGATTCGATAGAAGAGACAAAATGAAGCCTGGAATGGTGGTATACCCATGTGATCCCAGCACTCGGGGGGCTGAGAGGCTGAGGTGGGAGGATTGTGACTTCTAGCCCAGGCTGGGTTACTTAATGAGATGCACTCACAAAGAAAAAAAAAAAGAAAGAAAGAAAAGAAAAGAAGAAGGCAAAATAGGGTTTTATTGCTAAATGAATGAAGAAAAAAGTTGTTGAGAGGTGTGGCTGTGGCAAGCATGGTGTGTGGATTGAGGAGGTCATGTGGGTACAGCCAAGAGGTTGCTGAGGCCATGCAGCCCAAGGGGTGAGAAGAACCTGGACCAGACAGTGCCCCTGACATAGAGAGAATCTGAAAACAGATCTGGGTGATGCTGTAATACATGAGAGGGTGTGAGATGGCTGAAACCTCAAAGTTCGTAGCCCAGGAAGAGAGCTGGAAGGAATGTGTTCCACTGGAGGAGAAGTTAGCTACATAGGAATCTGCCCCGGAGATCAAGGAAGTCAAATGCAGGAGGAAAGCATTTTATATGTGTTGGTTGATCAGATGGGGAAAACATCCTAGAGGTAAACTGACGAAGAGACGTGGAAATAGAAGAAGGAGAAATACTACTGTGGGTGTCCCTTCTCCTCTTCTTCCTGCAGTATCTGCAGTGCTACTCACTGTGCTGTCTTGAATTCTGGGAAAATAGCAAACACTGCACATGGATTTTCATTGCCTCATAGTCTATTTCACAGAACAAGCTCCCCGAGTTTCCTTTATGGGACTTCACCGAATTCAAATGAAAAAAAGAAAAGGGGGTGGGGTGGTGTGGGGAGAGGTCTGGTGGAGTGGCTCAAGAGGTAGAGAGCGCCTGCCTAGCAAGTGTGAGGCCCTGAGTTCAAACCCAGGTACCGACAAAAAGAAGAAGAAGAAGCAGACAATGACGACAGCTTGAAGGTCATCGTCCACAGTACTGAGTCACTCCAGTTTACATACTCATTTGGGTTGCAAATGTGGGATAAAGGTGGAAATCTGACTGACTGAAAGTCAAGATGAGATCAAAACTAAGACAGAAACAGCCAATTCTCAAGTTATCAGAGTTGGCCAGCCAGGACTCTCCTCTCATTTGCAGTACCACCCATTCCTCAATTGCCTGTCTGCGTACACATCCCAAACAACCCCTCCACCAGATGCCCCACTTCCTTCCACTCAGTCCACTCATCAAAGGAAACAAGGACGACCATCATGATCCCTGAATGCACCATGGATGGTGCAGCTCCACTGCTGAAAGGAGAGCACCTCTTAGCTTTTGACTCAAGAGAAGTTTCTGAGACACTGCCTGTCCAACACTAAAGAGCACAGTAATCACCGAATCCCAGGCCCACCTTGAAACACTGCGTTTAGTAAAACCAGGATGTTCCCAGGTGATGCTGAAATGAAATGGGCCCCATTTGCAGAGGGATTTGAGATTAGACATGGAATCAGGGAAGCCAGGAACTGGATGAGACTTTGGTAAATGCCCCATTTTGAGTGATCCAAGTGGCTTAAACCACTTCCTAGGCTATGAGTTTATACTGCGGACAGGACTTAATCTCAGCTGGGCTCTCTTGTAAGAGGTTTATGAGCACTGACTCATTTAATGACAGTAACCCTTTGTGGGAGGGGCCATTTCTGAAGATCCCTATGTTCTGATGATGAAACCGAGATACACAGGGTTAAACCATATGCCAGGGCTACACAGAGCCTCAGAAGCAAACACAGGCAACTGGCCCCAATTATGCTTTAAATTACACCTAGGCTGTGTACCTGCTGTGACCTTGATGTTTTCAAGGTTTGGAAACACAAATGATGTTTGCTCACCATCAGGATGAATCTCACTTTTTGCTGTCTCTTCTTTTGCTTTATTGGATCCCATGGGAGAGATGGTGACAGACTTTAATTCATGCACCCCTCCTCCTCAGGGACACAATGATCTCAGTAGCTCAGGGAGGAAGGAATGCACATTTGTCTGTCTTCAGCAACTGACTGCTTCTCATCCTGGTGGATTCCGGGCGCGCACACACGATGGAGTGCAGGAATCTGAGCTTTTAACTTGGCTGAGCTAGTACACTCTAGAGAGAAAAGCACCAAGCACCTTCGTCCTTTTTATAGTTGTGCATTGACTACTACTGGTCACTTAATGCTGCCTTGCACTGTGTCTGCTGTTCCTATGACTGCAGCAATGGTTTCCAAAAGCAAAGGCAAACTGACCAAACGTGCAGTACTAACTTATAGCCGAGAGTGGTGGAGCACCTGGAATCCCTGCACTTGGCAGGGCTAAAGCAGGAGGATCATGAGTTCTAGACCATCTAGGCCAGCCTGGTCTGCTACACCAGGCTGTGTGTGTGTGTGTGTGCCTGTGTGTGTGTGTGTGTGTGTGTGTATATGTGTAGATATGCACTGCATTCTGTCCTACAGGTAGAAGGCTCAGTTTCAGATTTCAGGCCTTTAGTACTTAAATACAAATAGACTGGTTCTTCACTATTAGAACAATTATTTCATGGAAATGGTGTGAAGCGTAAAGTTAAACATCCACATATAATTTGCAGGGCAGGCTCAGGAGGATAAGATAAGAGAAAGAGCCTTGAACTTGAACTTACGGGGAAATATCCAGATTTTGTCACAGTTTAGCTTAAGCAAGTCAGTTAGCCTCTTTTGGTTTGTCTTTCTCATCTGTAAAACAGAGCTAATAACGGCTCCCTGCGTGGTCACAGGCTGTCAAATAGTGAAAGGCAGGATGTTGTTACAGCACACGTGCCAGGCATGGAGTGCTGTGGATATGGCTGTAGTTGGCTCTCCGTATCTGTGGGATTCCCAACTTTGGATTGAAAATATCTGAAAAAGGCATCTTCACTGAACAGGTACAGACATTTTTTCTTGTCAATATTCTCTGAACAATACAGTAAAGGAACTATTTACATAGCATGACATTGTATTGGGTACAAGCCATCTAGAGATAATTTAATTTAAAGTGAAAGGAGTTGTGCATGCATAGGTCATATGCAAATACTGTGCCATTTTATGTGGGGCTTGAGCATCTGTGTTTGGTACCCAAAGGGATCCTGGAACCAATCTTCTGCAGATACCAAGGGACACTGTAATTTTCCTCTATGCTCATCATGACTTCACCACAGGAGATTTCCTTCTACTTTCTCCATCTCCTGTGGAATCTACATGGGAATTCCTAAAGCAGGGATAAGAGGAAATAGGTTCACTACTTTTCTTATGTTTTAAGAATTAAAATGTTGATGTTGCCTTACAATT